ACTACAATTTCTAATGAATTGTAATCATATGCCATAGGTCGAGGGTCCTTGACTATACTACTCCAATTTCTGATCCTACTACATACCCACGCGTGCTTGAATGAGTATGGTACCAGAAAATGGAGATAATATAATAATCTAATATACTAAATGTAAGAAGCAGAACAATGATTTGATGCAAATAAAACTTAGAAATATAATACAAATAGGTAAAAAGGTTACAATAAAAACTAGGTCTTCCAGGAGTTATTTATGTCCAAAACATGTAAAATTGGGAAAATATGCTATTTATACACGGGGGTGGGGGTGGGGGGGGGGGATGTCGCGAGGGGACAACTTCATTCCCTAGGGTAAGAACAACATTCCTCTTGGTCGTTCCTACCTTAATTCTTCTTCGTTGGCAAAAGGTGGGAACATCGTCTGCACATGAATGTTGGGAGGAACGTCGCTCCTTGTTAGCATTTTTCTATCCAGGGAACATCCACTTTGTCATTTTCGTGGGTGGTTCTGTCCAAAACTACTCTGACACCTTCAATTCTCGCTTATTTATGTTCCGCTTCACTTCCTGGGGTCTTTAAATAATCAAATTATGTTCTCGAACCTCTTTCAAATGCTTGTTTGCGCCCTAAACAATGCTCAAATCCTCTCTATAGATCCTACAAACTAAAAGATTCCACAAGTAAAATAAAATTGAGGGGAAATCACTGAAAGTTGATAATCAATGACCTAACTCTTAAGAAAGTATTAAGTATTTTCTCACCTATCAAACCGACAAAAAACACATTATTAATCCTGTTTAGAGAACTACCAACCCCTAAACTTACATTCTGAAATTACGTTGCTTGAAAAATATTACACCATATATATTTAGAAACTAAAAGGAACACCCTTACGTGTTCATCCCTTTCTGTGAAGGGGGTGTTGCTACATCGACGAAAACAAATTGGGTCGCGTGTGAGAGTAGGGGTGGACCGGGCCCGGTCCGGTTCCAGTTCGGGCCTGGGCCCGGCTGGGTTTGGATGGTTTTGGGTAAGGTCGTAAATGATAATTATTCGACTTCCCCTTTTAGGTCGATTTCTTGAAGGTCGACGCCAAAATCTTGGCCTACTTCCGTTTGGTTGGTCCACCTCCTCTTCTTAATCAGCATTCAGTTAGCACTCGATCATATTAATGATTTAATCTAATGAGTGCAAGCAATTAACACTAGCTAAAAATTCGAGTTTGTGTTTTATTATTAATCAATCGAAAAACTTGCATAGTCAAAGGAAACATCCAGAAATTTATAGTTTAACCTGTCCTTGAGAGTGATCAGAAGTGGGCGCAGGGAGAATCGTGGCAGAGTCCACTTCACCAGTCGGAAGGGGCACAGCAGCAGCAGCTGGCGCAGAAGAAGGAGAGCCCAATTCGTGAGGCTGGAAAGGCCACGGGTACGACGGAGAAGACGACACAATCCCACCAGAAATCAGCGGAGGAGCTCCACCGGGGGAGGGAACAGGACTTTCCGGTGAGGAAGCAGTTATTTTGATTGCTACTTTTTGGCCCTTTAGGCATGCCTTGTTTGACCCATTGTAAAAGGAGAAGTAGAAGAAACCAGGACGCCCTGTATGCCACTGCATATATTTCCCCATTATCACTTAGAAATTAACCAGAAGATTAATGTAGAAAGAAATAAAATAATTCAACCAAATTTCAAGAAAACAAGTTTTTCTGCTACTTTTTGCTACAAAAATGTGACACAAAAACTTTATATTTTTCGTCAACATGCATAATAGCTTTTGTACTACCAAAATTAATTTTATAGCTTTTTTATAGGTATTCTGTTTTAGGGTCTGTTTGCAACCCATTAAAAAAAGTGTTTTTAACTTTTTTTTAAGAAAAAAAACACTTATTTTACCAAACACTACCAACTTTTACTTTCTCGGCTTCCGTGTAGAACCTACTTTTTACTTTTTCTATTACACAAAAAGCACTTATTTTACCAAGCACTACCAACTTTTACTACTGATCACTTTTTCCCCAAAAGTGCTTTTATTTAAACAGAAGTGGTTGCAAACAAAGCCTAAAGCTACAAGCTGGTACTTTTGACTCTTGTGCATGAAATCACAAAACAGACCCATTAGCATTTTTACGAATGCGAAAATGGGGTGTTATCATCTACTCCCTCCGTCCCGAAAACAACTTCCCGGTTGGACTTTCACACACTTTTAGGAAATAAATTTGACTTTACTGTAGAATGCACTGTTTTGCACTGTTTAAACACTGTTTGGCACTGTTTATCACTTTTTTTATGTAGATAATTTGCCAAATAAGGAAAGTATTGAAGTGTGAATTTAATTTTGGGACATCAATTTAAGGAAAGTGGGAAGTTGTTTTCGGGACGGAGGGAGTACATTTTTATGAATGCACATAAACTCCTGAAAGAATACATTTTCATTTTGAAAACTCAATAGGACTTTTTAAAAACTCCGGAAAGAATTATTCAAAAAAAAAACTCCAGAAAGAATACATTTTTCAAGTAAAAATATTATCACTTATCATATCTTAGAATTTGCAAAGGGATTCATTATTTAAAATAAAACGTAATGAAGTAATAATTCTAATTCCATTTAACTCCACTCGGCCAACTTTGATCTTTGAGTTATGCTAAAAATTTATGTTTGGGAGTTAAGTTTTGAAGGGAGAAGAAAGATGAAGAGGGTTTAAACCCTCTTTCTTATTTGTTGAGAGTTTAAAAAATTAAATTAGATGATTTTAGAGAATTCTTGTAATCATTTAAACCCTTAAATGCTCAATTTCCAAGTTCCCTGAATTTGGAGTTTTTAAAGAAATGCTAATTAAGTGACAAATTCAAATATTTGAATTCGCCATAGCTCCATAAAAAATGATGTTTGTACTCACTCTTATACTCACTTTTGTACTCACCTATGTTTGTGAAGTGTTTTATTTTTGTCTGTGAATCCCAGTTCACAGACAATATTTTGCACAAACAAAATATTGTCTGTGAATCGGGTTCACAGACAAAAAAAAACTTCACAAACATGGTGGGTATAAGGTGGGTATAAGAATGGGTACATCAAGCATTGTTGTATATATAATTTTTCAATTGTAATTCTTCCATAGTGTCTCTTTTTTCAAATTTGTAACAAAAGGATTAATTTTTTGTTGCATACTCCGATAAAAAGTAAAAACCAGTTTTTTTGACATTCTTGATTTTTTACTGTCACTTCAGTTTTTTCTAAATTTAAACAAATTTTCTTGGAGTAAGCTGGCTTAAGTGATGATTGATAATAGTAAAAGGTAAATTTAAGCCTTTTTGTAAATAAATAAATAAAGGAAAAATTGATAATAATAATCCCAACTATTGGCGGTCCGCTCATAATAATCCCAACTATTGATTATTACAGAATAATCCCAACTTTAGGGACTTTCCGCCAATAATGGTCCCTATGAATAAATTCTTGTAGTTTCTAAAGTGGATGAGATGAGATATAACAAGTAATCCCTATAAATAATCTCAACTATTAATTTTTACGCTTAATTTCTATTTAAAATTCACTTTTTATAGAGGTAATATATGGTCATGGACCATTATTGGCGGATAGTCTATATAATTGGGATTATACAAAAATAATCAATAGTTGGGATTATTTTCAGCGGACCGACAATAGTTGGGATTATTATTTTCAATTTTTCCATAAATAAATAAAAACTCCGTAAGTTGTAGGGTCTTTGAGCTTTGGTGCTATGTTATCAATTCTTAAAGGGGAAGGAAGGGCGTTTTTAAAAAATATTATCAAAATAAAACGAGATATTACCCAAAACGGGACTAAAAAAGTTTGGAAATTCCAAAATAGGACTTCCATGTTTTTATTCTCAAAATAGGACTAATTACTGTCATGTTTTGGCAGTACCAGACTTCAAACATGGCAGTATTTTCCAAATTTGGCAGTAATTAGTCCTATTTTGGGAATAAAAAATGACAGTCCTATTTTGGAATTTTCAAACTTTTTTAGTCCCATTTCGGGAACTTTCCCAAATAAAACGTATTTATACAATTATGTCTAATTAGTTACTCCGTATTAGAATGTAGTGCTATGATAACTTAAAGTTAAAATTTGAATATAAATTACTATAATTTCATTACTACCTATGTCACTAGTTAAATAATCTTTATTTTAATAATAAATATGTGATTATTTCAAAAAAGAAATATGATTAAGCATTTAAGCCTAAGGGTATGTTTGGCACAACTAGATGAAAAGATACTTTTATGAGCTTTTTAGTAACTGTTGGCTCTTTGTGACTGAAAAGATCTTAAAAGCAAAAGGGGGTAACTGTTTAATAAAAAGCTGACTGTTTGATTTAGTTCTGTTTGGTATACAAGCTGTTAAGACAAATTAATAATGAAAGCTACAGACTTTTTCCAGATGCTACTCACTGTAGCATCTCAAAAAAGATCTTTTATTTTTTAAAAAGCTCTTAAAACTTGACATGCCAAACATACAACTAGAAACTTTTAAAGACTTTTTAAATAGTACGGAAGCTAGAAGTTAGTGACTTATGCCTCCCAAACATGCTCTAAACATTGAGTTTTAAGACTAAAACTTCAATGCCATTGCAGTAGAAGATGAAGACCAGAGCTTACTGTCCAATTTTTGGAGTCAGATTTGGTGAGAAGAGTAGCCTGAGAGAAATTGCAGGCATTGAAAGCATTCAAAAAAAAAAACCTTTTATTGTAGACATTGAACTCATAAGTCATACCTGTTCTGGAAAACTGACATTTGAAAAGAAAAGAAACAGAAAGAACATATTAAATGCGAATGATAACACCAGAACTCCAATCTAGGTTACTGGAAAGATAGAGAAACAGTACACGCGTGTACAGTAACTGTTTTTTGTCCCAGAATATGAATGATGTAACTCGCGTGTAAAGACTTTTAATCACGTTAGTGATGTTGGGATTGGAAAATTCTTCTATTCAATATCAAGAACAGAATTACAATAGGAGGAGCAAACTCTCACACTCAACTATTACAAAAAACCAATCCTCACCAATACACTTCTACTCTAAGTGTATTTCACTCTTCACACACTTTTCTCACTTTCTAAACTGATGATATGAACAACAATAGAACACTCTATTTATAGGGCTGGTTTGGAGACATGAGGAAGTTGCATCCAAGCTTCCTAGTTATCTCCATATCTTCTCCCACACCTATTTGTTGGAGAGCTCCTTCCATGAAGGTGCCTCCATGTTAAGGTGTCTCTTGGCAACCTCCAAGAAAGAAGGTGGAAGATACCTACAAATCTCCCCCTCCACCTTTTTCTTTATTTCTCTCGTTCCTGCAATGCTCGCAGGCTCCCCCTCGCTAACAAGTATCCATTCGGATGTGGAATACTTTCTCTGTGGAACTATGCCTCGCATAGAACGTCGAACATGAATACCTTCAGCTTCGTCTTCAGATGAAGGCTCCCCCTGCTGAGGAATATCATCACTGTGAGTATCATCATCACCTACTGAACCATCACTCTCTTGTTCAGTAGTATCATGCATCTCCTCGTCGCTGAGAGGAATGTTTGATGATACATGCACTTCGTCTTCTGGAGTATGTTGTTGGCGGATTATTGGAACACACCCATGAAACTCGTTTTCATGAAATACAACATCTCTGCTTCGTACAACTTTCTTCACTTCGGGATCCCACAACCGGTATCCGAATTCTTCATCACCATACCCGATGAAGATGCATGGGTTTGACTTGAGATCCAGCTTCTGTCTCAACTCCTTGGACACATGTGCAAATGCCTTGCACCCGAACACTTTCAAATGAGAGTAAGAAACATTTCTTCCTGACCATTTCTTCTCTGGCACTTCAAAGTTTAAAGGAACAGAAGGTGACCTGTTTATAAGATAACAAGCTGTCAGCAAAGCTTCACCCCAGAATGGCTTAGGTAGTTTAGCCATACTCAGCATGCAGCGAACTTTCTCCATAATGGTCCGATTCATTCTTTCGGTTACACCATTGTGCTGTGGAGTTCGTGGAACCGTCTTCTCATGTCTGATTCCATATGCTGCGCAATATGCTGAGAACTCCCGAGAAGTGTACTCTCCTCCATTGTCTGAACGCAGGCACTTCAGCTTCTTCCCTGTTTCTCTTTCTACCATCGCATGAAATAATTTGAAGCGATCAAACACTTGATCCTTACTCTTCAAACAATAAGCCCATACCTTTCGTGATGCATCATCAATGAATGTCACGAAATATCTGCTTCCTCCAAGTGACTCCTCTTCAATGGGTCCGCATACATCAGAGTGTACAAGACTGAGTAACTCTGAATGGTTCTTCCTGGTAGAACTGAAGGAAACCTTGTGTTGTTTCCCGAATAGACAGTGTTCGCATGGATCTAGGGCAACACCTTTGCCCATGGAAATGACTTCCTTCTTTGCAAGAGTTGTCAATCCCTTCACGCTCAAGTGGCCTAGCCTCCGGTGCCACAAGTTTGGTGATATCTCTTCTTCAACAGCATTAAGACTTGGATGACACAACTTTGCATGAGTTTTATAAAGAGTACCACAAATATGGCCTCTTGCAACAACCAAGGAACCTTTAGATAACTTCCACGTACCTTCTTTGAATCGGTTAAGATATCCTTGCTGATCCAGAGCTGTACCGGAGATAAGATTCAATCTAAGATCCGGAACATGTCGAACATCTTTCAACACAAGTGCGCATCCGACATTGGTTGTTATGTGCACATCACCAATGCCAACAATCTTCGAGAAACTGGTGTTTCCCATCTTCACAGCTCCAAAGTCCCCGGACTTATAAGATGTGAATAAATTCTGGTGTGGAGTGGCGTGAAATGATGCGGCTGTATCAATCACCCACTCAACATCATGAGTACCTACGTGTAAACATTCTTGTTCACCATGTGTAACAAGACACACGTCTGATGACAAACTAACCATGGTCTCACCATCATCTTGGCTAGTATTTTGACTCGTCTGTGGCTGCTCTCGTAGAAACTTTCTACAATCTCTTTTTCTGTGCCCATAATTACTACAGTAATTGCAATATCCTTCAAACCAAGTACTGTTTTCAAAGGACATACCTCTCTCTTGTGATCTGCCGCGAACTTGAGAATTTCCTCTGTTTTGACCTTGGCCTCTACCTCGACCTCGAGTTCTTCCTCCATTTCTGCCTCCCCCTCGTCTGCTGGTTTCTGACACGAAGGCATATGATTGTTCAGTCCCGGCTTCTTTTCTTCGGGCTTCTTCATTCATAAGGGCATCTGTGACCATCTGCATAGTCACTTTGCCATTGGGAGCAGAATTGCTGAGAGTGACAACAAGAGTCTCCCAGCTGTCAGGTAGAGAGCTCAAGAGTAGTATCGCCTGTTCTTCATCTTTGAGAACCCATCCGGTGGTGCTCAACTGATTCACAAGATCCTGGAATTGACTGGTGTGTTCTGACACCGAAATACCTCCTCGTAATTTGTGGTTTACTAATCGCCTCATTAGTAAAGTCTTATTTCGTGCGGTTTTTGCTTGATACATGCTACCAAGCTTCTCCCATAGTGTGTAAGCACTTTGTTCTTGCGCAACATGGTGGAACACACTATGATCAATCCACTGTCGAATTTGTGCGACAGTTTTTCTATTCATTTTTGTCCATTCTTCATCCGTCTTTTTATCCGGTTTCACGCCATTATTATCAAGAGGATCAGCTAAATCCCTCAAATTTAGCAAATCCTCCATCCGAGGCTTCCACATATTGTAATTTGTGGAAGTGAGCGCAATCATGGTGTCCGATGATGATTTATCCATAATAAAACGCTCAAAATATCTCGTACCTTATTTTCGGAGCCGAATTTGGACAAACGGAGCTCACCGTTGGATCCGGAATGGCCGAAAATGGTAGGAACCGGTCTGACCTTGTCCAAAACCGGTCCGAAAATGGGTGAACCGGCCTCCACAAGTACGAACCGGTTCGGTCCGGTTCAGGCAGCAGCCCAGTGAGCAGACCAGCAGGCGGATGACGTGGCAACAGCTGGCTCTGCGCTGGCGCTGACGTGGCGCCACGTGTCGCTGACGTGGCGCTGACGTGGCGCTGACGTGGCGCTGACGTGGCACCTAGAGATGGCTTGCACGGATGACGTGGCGGATGACGTGGCGCTTACTTGGGCTGACGTGGCGCTGCCGTGGCGGCTGACGTGGCTCGTCTTCTTCCTCTGGACTGCGTGATGACGCAATGATGACGCAGGCAGTTTTCCGGCGCGTTTGGGCGGCGCGTACGGCCTCTTCCGGTGGCCAAAAAATTCCCAAAAAATACCAGATTTCTCGTCTCGACGAGACGAATCTAATGGTATGATCAGATCGTGATTCCGAGCAACTTGAAAAATCACGATTTTCTAACCTGTAGAAATTTATCTGAAAATGAGAAAACAGTGTATGAAAACTCAACCTCGCTCTGATACCACTTGTTGGGATTGGAAAATTCTTCTATTCAATATCAAGAACAGAATTACAATAGGAGGAGCAAACTCTCACACTCAACTATTACAAAAAACCAATCCTCACCAATACACTTCTACTCTAAGTGTATTTCACTCTTCACACACTTTTCTCACTTTCTAAACTGATGATATGAACAACAATAGAACACTCTATTTATAGGGCTGGTTTGGAGACATGAGGAAGTTGCATCCAAGCTTCCTAGTTATCTCCATATCTTCTCCCACACCTATTTGTTGGAGAGCTCCTTCCATGAAGGTGCCTCCATGTTAAGGTGTCTCTTGGCAACCTCCAAGAAAGAAGGTGGAAGATACCTACAAGTGATCATTGTAACTCAAGTTCATTGGAAATGTAAATTATCAAATACATACTATAAGAACAAAACATTGATTTCAACTCAAACAATGAAAAAAAGAGTCTAACTACACAATTACTTTACGTAAATCGTGATATATTTTGTTTTTAATATCATAACCATCACAAGGATTTTAAAAAAAATCATTTTTTTTCAATAGCAGGGTGTTATTTTTTTATGTAACTCATGTTATTACAAATGTAACTCGCGTTGATAACAAATGTAATTTGCGCTTCAAAAGATGTAACTCGCTTATAAAAAAATGTATCTCAAGTAGGCCTGGAGTCGGGCCGGGTGGCCCGACCCGGAACCGGCCCGAACCGGCACTGTTCCGGCCCGGTGGCCAGGTCAGTGATCGGTCTGGGTAGGCCCGACCCGCGTGGGTTCCAGTCCGGGCTCGGGCCCCCAAAATCATGAACCGGCCCGGTTCCGGGCCTTTTTAATTTATTAGTTTTTTTTCAATTTTTTTTACTTTTCGGGTTGGACTGGGTATTTTGGGCCATTTGGGGTGGTTTGGGGGTAGGGGGGGTTAACTAGGGAAAGGAAAAAAATTTAACAAAGGCCAGAGGCCCGGCCTGGCTCGAACCGGGGATTACCCGGGCCGGTTCCGGGCCCCCCATTCCAGAACTGCCAGCCCAGCCCGAGTCCAGGCCTAATCTCAAGCATAAAATATGTAAGTCGCCCATGAGAAGATATAACTCAAATATAACTTCAGGAATCATGTATATATGTACCTCACATATATGAAAATGTAAATCACACACATGAAAATTTAATCACCTGTTTTATCATATGTAAATAGAAATTAACAAACTCTATGTCTTAAAAAACACTAAAACCTATAAAATGATAAAGATTTTTTTCAAAAATATATTATATAAAAAAGTAATTGTAATCATATTTTTTATATTTTAATAAATGAGATGTACAAAATTGAAAAAGAAAAGAAGTAAAAAGAAGAAGAAAGTGGAAGCAGGGAAGGAAAAGTTAGTGGAAGCATGGACATGATGTAGAAGAAGAAACAAATCGGGAGGAAGCCTTGCATGAGAAAAAAAGGCAAGTGACTTTAATTATAGAAACGGTGCCGTATGTGGTACCGGTATACCTTGATCATGGTATGCTGGTACCACGGTATAATTTGTCCATTCTGATATAACTGTAAGAAGTGAGATCAGAAGATCCCAAACTCCCCCATTCAAAGATATGACTATAAAAAGTGGGATCATCATAACTCATAAGATCCCAAATTCCCCCATTCAAGGAATTAAGGCAGTAAAAAAGTGCTGACCAAAATACTAAAATAAGAAGGGAAAGGTGAAAATTTGAGCAGAGAAAAGTGCTGCATTCGATCTCCATAATAATAAGGGTAACACTCAGTCCCTTCAGATTGAATATAACACATCTCTCTCACGGCATTCTTACACATCACTAATTCTTTTTACATCTATAGGTGCAAAAACATAACCCCAAGAGATTCCACTCCATTCCAAAACCTCAACCTCTCTTTCCCTTCAATGACCTTTTCATGATAGCAGCAGCATCATCATCAAAACAATTCCAGTGAAGGAAGCTCTTAGAATGGTCAACCCCCTTACCACCTGCATGCATTTCCACCCAAAAGTATTTAACAATGAAGAGGACAAATTGAGTTCCCAATGAACAACATCACCCGCCTTTATTACCATGTGTGTAACTGTGTATCATTTGTATAACAGGATTCGGGTTATAGTGATTTTCAAAATTCTCACATCTTTTCACCTTTATTCAATAATTTGAGTTAAGGGTAAACCATTCTCTAACTTATATATCATCATTATCTTATGTATATCTCTCAAGCTAGGCTCCAAATTAAATAAAGCAACCAGCCTTCCAAAGTGCCAGTGGAGTAGTACTCTCACAGTCTCACTGCACACCTTGCCTCGTAAATATATTCAAAAGTTTGTAAGCGGTTTTTGTTTGTTCTAAACGAAAACTTAATTAGCCACGGAATTGAGTTGAAGGACGATTGGACGAAGCTATATACAAGTGACTAAGAGCATCTCCAGCAATTAGAAAATTGCTCTCGTAACTTGACTAGCCACATAAGCATTTCTAGCAAAATTGAAACGTACTCCAATGGTTAGCTATAGCATTTTCCTCTTCATTTATTATTAGTAATGCTTTATTTAATAATTTCACTTCTTCAAGCTAGTATCTCATTTAAGCTATTAGCTATCTCAAGCAAAAGGGAAAGCAATGCTCCAATGGCAAGCTATTAGTTTTAAAATTGCAAGCAAGTCCTCATACCAAACCATTGGAGATGCTCTAAGAGCATCTCCAACGGTTAGCTAATTACCTTCATAGCTTAATTAGCCACATAAGCATTTGCAGCAAAATTAAAATTTACCCCAATGGTTAGCTATGTCATATTCCTCTTCATTTATTATTAATAATGTTATATTTAGTAATTTATATGCTCAAGCTAGTATCTCATTTTGGTTAATTAGCTTCCTCAAGCAAAAGGTTAAGCAATGCTCCAATGGTAAGCTATTAGCTTAAAAATTGCAAGCAAGTCCTTAAGAGAAACCATTGGAGATGCCCTAATAGGGTTAACCATTCAACCATTAAATCACGTTTACTTACAATTCTATTAGAAACACGACTTATTCGTTAAGTTGAAAACTAGCATAATCATAAAGACCGAATATATTACTTCACGTCTATTCAACCAATTTTCTTTATACTAGGACGCTTTTTACTTGAAATTGAAGTTTGTTGATATGGTCTCATCTAATCGGCCTCTTTAAGTTTGGCTGGATAAGATCATGTATTATGTACACTTTACTAGTAAAAATAATACTCCATAGGTAATTACCAAATATGAATGTTACGTTTTTCTCATAAATATGTGTAGTTATTGTTATGCTAGAAAAATACTACAAATTATGACATTAATTAATATTGTTATATTAATATTCTCCATCACACTTTGTGAGATACACTTTCATTGTTGAATTGTCTCAAAAATATGAACCATTTGCTAAATTAAATTCTACAAAAAATTTACTTTCCTACTTTATACCTTTATTTATCACTTCATCATCTACTTTTTGTGAACACATCCTACTCTTAGGAGATTAGAGTTGTAAACTAATCATTTGATCCTTTATTTTCTTAAAAACTGCACCGAACACACATGTCGTCGGAGGAAGTACATGATCCTTTTTAGGAAGTACTTCATAATACCAAAATAAGATTATTTCAACATAACAATAATGGAATCTTATTTTAAAAAAATGTAGTATTTCTATTTTAGAATTTGCACAATTTTGCTCTAAATTTAGGAATGAAGTTACCTATGTTTTAATCACAGAATAATTTTTGTTGCCGAATATCATTTAATGATGTTAAATACACTCTCTCTCCCTAGCTCAAAACTTTGTCAAGTTTAAGTAGTATGAGGAATAATAAATAAAAATTATGTGTTTGAGATTTGTGTAAATGAAAAAGAATGGGTACCTAAGAATACAAATCAATTAATTAACAAAAGGAAATGACAAATTTTTTTGATTAAAAAGCAAGGGTTTGTGATCAAAGGAACCCTGAGTTTTGTGTTTTAATATTAATTAGTCAACGGTGTCAATCAATGGACCCTGAGTTTTGTGTTTTATCATTCCTAAATAAGTCCGATTAAAACATGGTCAGGGCAAGGTTAACCTTTAAGAATTTTACTTAAATGTTTTAAAAAAGAATTTACTTAAATAAGATTAGAATCGCTTGTGAATTCCAAAATAAGAGTAACTACTATCTTGTTTTGTCACTACCACACTTTAAAAGTCCATTTAGTGATTCTCTTTTTCGACTTATCATTGTTACCAAACATGTAACTTTTGATTTCGCGCTGAATTTTAAAATAACAGGAAAATGTAAGGTTGAAGCTACTTTTCTGATTGTATTGGTTGAAATTACAGTAGAGAATCATTTTAACTATTTTTTTTATATAATTTTCTTTATTTATTTTATTAATGAAAAATATTTTAAATATAATTTTTCATAATCAATAATCAAGCAATTCAACCAATTCATTCGGTAATTCTAAAACTTTTACTTTTATTTTGTGAACTTTCCCTCAACTTTATGTGCCTTTGCGCTTGTAATTATTTTACAATTTTATTTACCCCGGAATTACCGCTTCCAAATGGTAAAATAACTAAAATTGCCTCGTCAAAGGAAAAATTCAGAAATTTATAGTTACCTGTCCTTGAGAGTGATCAGAAGCGGGAGCAGGGAGAATGGTGGCAGAGTCAACTTCACCGGTCGGAAGGGGCACCGCCGGGTTGCTGCTGATAAATGGGATAACACCGCCTTTCTCCGGGTCCATTTGGCTATTGGCCGGAGCAACAGCAGCAGCAACTGGCGCAGAAGAAGGAGAGCCCAATTCGTGAGGCTGGAAAGGCCACGGGTACGACGGAGAAGACGACACAATCCCACCAGAAATCAGCGGAGGGGCTCCACCGGGGGAGGGAGCAGGACTTTCCGGTGAGGAAGCAGTTATTTTGATTGCTACTTTTTGGCCCTTTAAGCATGCCTTGTTTGACCCATTGTAAAAGGAGAAGTAGAAGGAACCAGGACGCCCTGTATGCCACTGCATATATTTCCCCATTATCACTTAGAAATTAACCAGAAGAATAATGTAGAAGGAAATAAAATAATTCAACCAAATTTCAAGAAAACAAGTTTTTCTGCTACTTTTTGCTACAAAATATATGAAACATATACAAAAACTTTAAATTTTTCGTCAACATAATATTTTTTTGTTGTACCAAAATGAATTTTATAGCTTTTTTAGCTATTCTGGTTTAATTAGATGATATGAGTCCATGACACAAGTACTACAAGCTGGTACTCGTGCGCGAAATCACAAAACAGACCCATTAGCATTATTAAGATGATTATAGTTGGACTGAAAGGTGAAGAGGGTTTAGACCCTTTCTTCTTATTCGAGAGTAATCAATTTTCGTCTTTTCGAATTCGCCAAATTCAAAGTTTTTTAACAATAACTAATTACTCCATAAAAGATACTCACTCTGTTCTTTGATTATATATATTATTATATGTAGGCTTTGGCACGAGTTTTAAAAGGAAAATAGTAAGGTCACTGTAAGAGGTACAATGTGAATTGTGGGTAAATGAAAAAAGTAGGAAAGAGAGAGGGGTACAAAGATATTTTGATTGAAAAAATTTTCAGAAAGATTGGCAAATAATTAAAAACTTTATTTAGTAACTTTATTTTGAATAACTTTATTTCAATTTAAAATGAATACAAATTTAATGCATTTGCGCTTTGGTGCTATGTTATCCATTATTAAAGGATAAAAAAGAAAGATGATTAAGTCTAAATGTTTAAATGCAAGAATAAAACTTCAATGCCATTGCAGTAGAAGATGAAGACCAGAGCTTACTGTCCAATTTCTGGAGTCAGATTTGGTAAGAAGGGTAGCCTGAGAGAAATTGCAGGCATTGAAAGCATCCAGGTTCTGGAAAATGTAGACATTGAACTCATACTTGTCCTGGAAAACTGACATTTGAAGAGAAAAGAAACAGAAAGAACAAATTAAATGCGAATGATAAGACCAGGTTATAGGAAAGATGGAGAAGAAACATACTGATGGAGTCTCCCACATGAACTGTTGCGTTTTTTCGCTCTGGAAGTAAACCCCTATCAACCACTATAGTAGCTGACTCAGAAAGCTGAATGGCAGAAGTGAAGCAGAACAGCAAGGAGAAGAACAGCACCGGTGAAGTCGAAACTCCCATTAGAAAAACTAAGACCAGAGAGGAAACTTAGGAAGAAGTGAGCTTAGAGAGTGAAGTTTTCTTTTGCTTTTTGGCTGTAAGATTGATTCCAAGAGTGAAGATGCAGAGAAAAAGAAAGAGAGGTCACGGAAAAGTGTGGCTTTTCACAGAGAAAGAGAAGAAAAGATAAAAGGGAAAGCAGGGGTGAAGTTCAATTATTGTCAGTCGTGTTTGGGCTTTTCACAGTAAAAGTTTGAAACTTTGAATACCTGACGTTGTTGGGCTTGCTTTGTAAACATAAACTATAGGGAATACAAATTATCAACTTCATTAAAAGAGTAATTCATGATTTTAATTTAGTACTTTATTATTTTATTTTAAATTAGTGTGGATTTCAACACTCCTCAATATAATCAGACATTTTATTTGGATTTGATTGATAGAAGGAATAGTTTAAAAAATTAATATGACACTTTATTATTTCAAGTGCTATATTCAGAAAATCAATATTCATGTCACAAAACTTTCTTGATAAGCTTTGAGCAATGTTCTAAAAAGAGCTAAAAGACAACGCAAGAGTGGGCCTAGGCGCAAGGCGAGGTCAAAACGCCTCACATGTTTATAAAGTCACTATTTTTTATATTTGAACTTGATTTTCCCCATGGGACGAGTAGATCCACCCGCCCATTTACGTAAACACATAAAGGAGTTGTTTGGAACTGGTTTTGTTTCTATTTCATTTTTAAAAGCACAAGCAGAATTAAAAACATTTTTCAGAAGATGGTTCCCTCCCATTTCTAAAAAACTGCTTCTAAGAGTAATTTGGAGCACCCAAAAGTAGTTCTGGACTTGCACGCAAACACTGCAATATTTGCTTCTTTTCCCTTAAAAAGTAGAAATAGTTTTAAGAAACAGATCCAAACATGAAACACCTCAAAGTCATAGTCCCGGTTGCATTCTCCCTCATGTTTGCTAAGAAATGACCGTGTTATACAGCAAGGTAGAAGAAGAGTCATTCGCTCTCTCTAGTGTGGAAAAATAAGTTGCGAGTATTAAGTATTTGGAATAAAAAACATTAGAGGGGCATAAAAAGTTTGTATGAATTTGGTATTTTTAATACTTCTTTTTTAGTATTATACTACGTATCATAGTTATTCTAAGTTTCTAACCATTGGAAAATAACTATCATCACTTTTTTTATATTATACTTTCATTACTAATATAATTTTCGTTGTTATATCATTAATATCATTAATATTATTATTATTATTATTATTATTATTATTACTACTATTATTGGTATTATTATTAATATTATTATTATTATTATTACTATTACTACTACTGCTATCATTACTATTACTACTATTATTATTGTTTGTACTGCGCACATCATTGTTTTACCAATTCACTACCATACCAATTCTTGCTTTTGTAAATTGGGTGCGCATACATAACATATATGGCTTTTAGAACTTAAAATCTTAATTTATGTTTGAATATGTAAAAGTATAATGTTTTTGCATGTGAAAACAACCCCTCAGGAGAGAAACAAGAAGGATATCAGATCATAGATTAGAAGAATTACACGGATCCTAAAAGTCATCAAATCTTGATTGAAACGGATGGCACTTGAGCGGTATTTTCGAAAAAGATGGTTCTTAAATATGCCGCTAAATATGCAAGAAATACAGGTGCAACGACAAAATCCCAAAAAAATCACAATTACTAAAGATGCAATTCAAAAAGAGGGGAGTTTTAAAAAACAGTGGTAGTCCTTGAGATAAATGAAAAGCGTTGAAGATTGTAGGGTAAATAGAGGAACATCAAGGATTGTGGGTGGTTGGATAAATTGTACACTAAAATTTTTGTATGTGTGCATGAAAGAGTGGGGTGTACGTTTTGCGCACAAAATAATAGTGTGGCTCATGATGTAATTGTGCAAATTAACTCGGTGTGTTGTGCAGTTTAAAAAAATTGAAATTCTAATGGGCAAGAAGAAAAATTACAGAAGGGGCGGTAATTTAATTTACGTTCCATTAAGGGAGTATATTAATGTGTGATAGTAACTAGTAAGTGTGGGTTTCGAATGTAAATTGTGCAGAAATTTGCTCATGTGAAAGTGTGCAACAACCTGTTGTGCGAAAGAAGCATGGCTCCAATATATTATCTGCATGAACACACTAGATTTATCTTCAAAATTAGTGCACCAATTCTGCCCGTAAGATTATAAACTTAACCAAGATTATTCTACCATATGATCATAAGATTCCTCATCATCTAGGTCGAGATCCGCAAGCAACTCCTCCAATGGAACAGAAGGAACTCCCTCGGCATCAGCCATTTCCGATGGAGATGGCCGGTGCTCCTTATTCCGGTACAGTGAAAGATTGAATCTCAAATCAGGATTTTCCTCAATATCTCTCAAAAACTGTTGATACTCTACGTTAATCTTCTCCTTTGCACCTTCATCAACCTCCATTTTGAGAGACTTGAACTTCCACGGACGAGACTTCCTCTGCCTCATCTGCCTCTTCTCTTCATAGCTCTTCTTGATCAGTATCACATCCGGGATATTCATTCTACTTTTGTATTTGTCGAGTTCCATATCATTACTATTGGAACCATAAAGGTCATACCCAAGAGCATAGTCCTCGGGGCTTAAGAGATTCCCCAAATGTGTTCTCACAGTGAAATACCTATCGTTCTTCCCAAAATCCGACACACGAGCAACATGAGCATCAGCCAGAGTGTATGTTGAGATCACTTCAGAAGAAATCGGCTCAAGATCTAAAACTATATATTCTATAAGCAGCCTGCTAGACAATAAGGGTTGCAACGATAATCTCTGATGCTTCTCAGCATCTAGGCAACATTGCCTAAGGGTGAGTGGATCTAACAGAGATATGTTACTGCTTACCTTATGGCATATCACTAGCGGCCCGAGATATCCCAAACTAGCAGCAACTCTAGGCGGGAGGCAGATGAGATCTTCACGACAAACAGGGTTGATTTCGACAGAGATGGCATACTTCAAATTGGAGACATTGCTCTTTGTGTCGTGGGACACGAGTTTGTGGTTACCCTCATCACGTCTAATTACTGGAGCTACTTTACCGATGAACTCAGCAAATTTCTGAGCGTGACTTTTATTACCGAAGAAGAAATCAACACCCTGATCCATCTGCTTAATTCTAATGGCATCGCTCGCGGCATTGTGTTTGAGGATAAGCTGCTCCAGGTAGAAGAATGTGCGACTGTGAGAAACATTCTGCCGCAGCTGCACTACAGCAACCCACTGATCTTGATTGGCATGAACCTTAGCACAGGAGTCACAATGCAGATATTGCACAACAAACTCTATTGTGTAAGCTTGTTCGAGTATTGCTCCATGAAGAACCTCTTTTTGGACCCTCAACTTGATTTTAATCCTCTTGGAGTGAGGTTCAGTCCAGATAAATTCAGCATGCACTAAATGGACTGCGTTCAGATTAGTCAGCCTCTTCACGCAGAAGGTGAGCAGCTCTTTCGACTCGAGTGGTGCTTTGATCCAAGACCTTGGCGGTTGCAAGTAGCACTCGCATTGAGGGCAATAGCGGATGATAACGTGCTTCTGAAGGCCTTCTGTTATGTCAACTTCAGAGCAGAGGCAGTTGGCACACATATTTGCCACATTTGGTTGCATTGAGATGCCACACTTGCAACATAACACACTGCCGATGGTCTGTGGCACAGTAAACATACCTGCTACTGCCATTGATGGCTACATAAACAATGCACAATATGATGCAGTATTAGTTAAATAATTGAAAATTTGAAGCTTTGTAGATTATAGCTTATGGGAAACTCAATAAAAATCACTCCACAGGAAACCTCCATTACGAAGTACATGTTTTTAAATCAAAGTCAAGCCCTTACCGGAAAAGCAAAACAACTTTAACTGAATACACATACCAAACGGCTAAGTATGCATTCAAAATCAGATCAGATTAAATAAACACCCAATTAAAAAACATAGAATATTTAAGCAGGCTTGACCACCACATACATACACGATACATTAATGTGTTCCAGTAAATTTTGATAGAGTTGTAAAAGGCAATAAAGCATTACAGCATGCAAGCTATAATCCAAATGCTGCAGCAGCAACATATAAAACTTGAGCTTGCTGCTTGCACACAGCTTAATCAACAACCAACTAATTCCAACACACAACAACTTAACCAAAATGAAGTAATCCACCATTACTGCTGAAACAAGAAGAGCACGTAGAATAAGCTATTACTAAAATTTCCCCTAGGAAACTCCAAAAGGTGCGAATCATATATTCAGGATCAAAATCTATTAATATACAAAAGCAAAAGATATACACCTTATTTCCACAACTCATGAATAAAATGAATAAATTTGTAATTGTAATAAACATCTATCAAAAGAATCTTTATACATATAAAAACTGGACTGTGTGGAATACAACCGTTCCCACCTAGCATTTACAGTGCACATGTGTCACAAGCTGATTACATATTAAAGTTATTAAAGCAACATCTGCAACTACAAAATAACCAAGTGGCAATCTTACTAGCAAAGAATGTGCAAGAATGGTGTCCGTGTCTCCCATGCGTAGATGATCTCAATGTCTTAATTTAACACATAGAAAACTAAGATATTGTGATCAGGTTTGTTTACTAAAAATGGATTTTCAAAATAATAATGTGTTATCACATACACATTACATCTTTATTTCTAAAAATAATACTATACACTTCAAGCATGCATTTATTTTTTTAATTTTTTACTCCAGGGGGCGTCTGGGGGAGGGGGCCTGGAGTAATCAGGGCTGAAAGCTGAAACTCACTCCATTGAGTTTCGAACCCGAGACCTCCTGTAAGGGAGAGTGAGTCGGCGACCAGCTGGGCTGGACCGCTTCCTCTCAAGCGTGCATTTACTTATCAATAGTGAATATTGTAATAATGATTTTTACAAATGGCTAGATAGAAAGTCAAGATCTGCATTATGGACATTACTGGAAAATGCAACATTTATCCTTGGATAATGCATGTCAAAGATCTTTTTAAAAGAAGAAGCTGAATTTGTTAAAATCTGGTACAAAAAGATAAACGTTTTCATTACATAGAGTAGTTCACTTGAGGGTTTTAAAGCATTTATGACTAAACAGACAAAGAATAATTGGTTTCCTATAGACATGGATTTGATATAAGAAAAAGTTATGTGCTTAGCTCAAGTTCAAAATGATAGTTCAAACAAAAGGTTCAAAGAAAGGTGACTTTACTTTAACATTCTAAAAGAATTCGTTTCCGAATGGAGAGACAGACATCCCATGTTAAGGTTAGGAAAGAAAATGGGAAGATATATATCCCATGTTAAGGCCAGTATGTACGCACTCTTATGTACTCTTTTTTGTTAAGAAGTACTAATGTATCTTACATTTTGGATCAAATCTTAGAATTCAATTTCCTATCATGATGAGGGGAGTGAGCAGCAGGGAAGGGATAAATTCTGAGCATATTGACTTTACTCTACAAGGTCGCGTTTTAGGAGTGGAAAAACTTCCCAACTGGACCGTGAAACACTAAAAGGAATAGAAAAGAGAACAAGAGAAGTTGTATGTGTGAAAATAGAGAAAAGCTAAAAGCATGATTTGTATAGTTTACTTAAACTAGTAATTAAAAATTAAAATAATGCATCATTAGGTAAATTATGTGAATTATGTGAATTCTTTAAATATATAAATAGATTGTTATTATTGTTAGATTATTATCCTCTTCTTATCATTTTTATTCCTATCAGATTTTGATAGAAAGATTTGTTGATAGGATAAGTTAGAAAAAAAAAGGGAATATGACTAAAACTTAATGAGTTTCTCAATCTATCACCTTAGTAGTTTTCTTCCCAAAAAAATTATAAAATTCATAATATTTAATAAAAAGGGAAAATGAAAACTAATAATCCAACCTTTTAGTGATCTTCTTACAATAGTCCCACCTTTTCGTTATTCATGAATAATCCAACCTTTGCACCTCATCTTCATTCACTGGTCCCTGACCGGTTGATGACCTACTATTCCAAGCTATTTTCTTATCTTTACAAATCATTATACCATAAATCTCATCTTTCACAAAGATAATATTTTGGAAAGATAAGAAAATAACTTGGAATAGCAAGTCATTAACCGACCAGGGACCAACGAATGAAGATGGAGTGCAAAGGTTGGATTATTTTTGAATAACTAAAAGGTGAGACTGTTGTAAGAAGACTGCTAAAAGGTTGGATTATTAGTTTCCATTTTCCCTAATAAAAATTCGTAATTAATAAAAAATAAATAATTTTGGAGGACAAATATAACCTTTAGCTTATACCTATAAAATCCTAATCTTGTTCTCTATTTTTACAACCCTAGCTACACCTCCTAACGCCCACCCACGTACAACCACCAGCCGTCTAGCCACCACCCGCAGTCGTCCAGTGCCGCTGCCTTCCACAAAGAGCACAGTCACCTTTTGTCCAGATGCCTGCCACCGCCTACCAGTCGTTCACAGGGCGATGTCTTTCACGCTGGAGATCCAGATTTGTCCAACCAAATTGGGGATCAAAACTTGGGCGGCACGAGAGAACCGCTCGATGGATTACGTATGAAGGGAGGACTTGACTGGAGATGGAGCTCCAGTCCGTGTGTCATGCGGCAACTTCGACCCTGGCTGCAAAAGAGAGCGTCCATGGTGCGGCGAGTATTCTAGGAGGAGTTTGCTTGGAGCGATTCAAAAAACACAATCAATTTCAGACCTCTGCAACAACAAAATGGGAGAATATGGGTCTTCTTCAAGGCGAGAGGAATGCCCTGTGACACATATTGCTTTTGAGAGTAATTGCAACAACAAAATGGGAGAATATGGGTCTTCTTCAAGGCGAGAGGAATGCCCTGTGACACAGATTGCTTTTGAGAGTAATTTTTGTATTGAGAGTTGAAATTGAAATTGTTTTTTGTATGGAGAGTAATTTTTTTTCAATTTAGAATTATAAATTGGTCTGATGTATGGAGAGTATTGTTGAAAACTTGGAACACGCACTTCGCACTACCTCGATTTTCTTCTTCCCCTTTATGAATTTCTTGGGCAGTGAATATGTGCTATGAAAATGGGCATTGGATATCTTAACGAATGCATTAAGAAAATTTGTTGTGCAGTGATTATGTCCAGCAGAGTCATTAACACAGCGCAATAATGCCGTCATGAAATGCAATATATTTGATTAGATGTAAAATAATAAAATTATTAAATCTAAAAAATAAAAAAATAAAAACTACAAATAAATTCCAAAAGTGTATGAGAAAAGAATTAATTTTGGCGGAAGTGCAGTGATTATTATCGCATGTGCAGTAATGTTGTGCAGTAATGTCGTGTATTAACGGCAATATAAAATGCAGTAATTTTAATTGGACGAAATTAGTGTAAAATGCACAAATTTTAAATAAGGGTATTTTTGTCATTCAACATTTAAATATAAACGAAATTATCTCCTTTTTTGGGATTTTCGGTCATAGAAAAGTCAAAAAACATAGTTAGTCATATTTAGAGAAACTCAATGAGGATGTTTTTACTTGGACTCTTTTGATTCCTATACCAGATTTAAACAGACCAGGCCAGACTTAAACAGACCAGGTCAGACTTACGAAAACAATAAACGGAAGGGAAAACTAAATGACTAATTTTTTAAATGGGTAACTACGGGAAGACCAGGTCAGAGCTTCATACGAAAACACGGTCCTAATGCATAAATGGAAATTAAAAACTCAATCTTCATACAATTGACAATAAAAATACAAAATCGAAAAATAAAAGAACAGAAAAAGAACGAACATCAACAATACCCTCTAAGCTTGATATATTTACTGCTGATATAGATGAAATCCATTTAGAAGAACAAAAAATACAACATTCTAAAAAATAAGGAAATAGATAGTAGTGAAACGACCAACCTCAGGGTATTGCACGAATGGCGCACCGGAGGCTTCGTCTGACCTGAGCGGAGACGATGGAGAATAGATATTGGGTGGTGTTTAGGTGTTTATAGCGTGAATGGTGAGGGTGGAAACGGAGAGGAAGAACTGGGGAGGCGGAAAGAGATGTGAGGTGATTGCCAGACGGCGGCGACGGGGATGTACGGAGTGTGTACAGTACATAGTAATATTGGGCCGAACCCGAACATGATATAGGCCAAACCTTATATGGGCGGGCCATCTTCATTTTACTTAAATTAGTCAATAAAAAAATCTATTTATTAATTAATTAAATATTATGAATTTAAATATTATTTTTGGGAAAATCTAATGAGGTCATAGATTGAGAAAGTGGATGAGTTTTAGTCATATCTAGGATAATTTTCTCAAATAAAAATGGATTGTTCGTCCAAATGAACGATACATTTCCCGGGTGAATTTCTTTAACCTTGTTTTTAGGCGGATTTGAAATGGGTTGGATTTTGAGATAATAGTTAAATAAATACGGGTAATTTTATACACAGTCTCCAGTTTACTAATCACAACCACAAAATCGTGGATTAATAAATTAATTTAATATACTAGAGGTGTGTGTCCGCCATCGATCTCGGTGGAGGAATGATGTTTCTTATTCTCCGGTTTCGGGTGGTGTTCAGAGAGGTGATCGAAGGAAGGGACAGTGACGAAGTCAGGCTTTTGTGGTTTGGAGGATGGAGTTTTGGAAGTTCGGGGCGGAGATTGAAATGTAACGGCCGATTGAGGTTCGTGCACGTCTAACTGCTTCGGTCCAAAAGAGATCGAAGGCGGACTCGAACGATGTCGGAGAGCGTTTGCATGGAACAAGTGGTGAATCTATAAGAATTCGAAGATGCAGATAGGTGAGGACGTGGAGGAATTGGATCTGGATGATGGTGAACTGGATGATGTCTCCCAGCAGAGAAGGTTCAGTCGACCTACCCGGTGGTCGGAGTTTTGCTGACAGACAGGAGAATCAAATTTCCAGTGTTCAAAGAGCTTACGACATCGCCGTGGAGGCCGGGAAAGGGTGTAGCGATAAAAGAAGTTAGTGATAAGAGGTATCTCTTTACTTTTATAATCATGTTGATACGAAACGAGTGTTTGATGGTGGTCCATGGCAGTTTGAGAGGAATTTGTTGATCTTGAGAGAAGTTAAACCAAATGATATTCCACATAAGATCTGTTTGAATGAGGTTGAGTTTTGGGTACAAGTGCATAATGTCCCGTGTAGCTTAATGAATTTAAGTACAGCAAGATGGGTGGGTAATTTTATCGAAAAATTCATTAGTTATGATGATAAACAATTTGGAGGAAAATGGGAATCCTATCTGCGCACTGGGGTCTGTATGAATGTTAATAAGCCCTTGAAAAAAGGCACCACTCTTAAGATAGAAGGTATCGGGCATTGGGTGGATTTTAAGTATTAGAGACTGCCAAATTTTTGTTTTGCCTGCGGAATCATAGGTCACTCTGAAAAAAATTTGTCTGTTGGCGTATGAAGAAGATCGAGTGCTGGAAAAAAGGTTTGGAGTACAACTCAGAGTAGGTTGTGGGGTGAAAACTAGCCCTACAGGAAGGAGTAAATGGCTAGTGGACGGGTCCTCGAGCTCAAGCCAGGGTCCTCGGAACAAGGAGGAGAATAAATCAGACGTAAGGATGGACAGAGGGATGGAATACACAGCAGGTTCAGTTAGCAGCTCGACCAAAGATGTGGTCTTGAGAGTTAAGGAGGAGGCAGCGGGGAACAAAAACGCAGGCGCATCTGGTAGGCGGTGGAAAAAGACCCGGTAGGAGTAGTATGACACTGAAAGGGACAAAACACGGGAGGAGGCGGGCTTAGATGGGTAAGCCCGCCATCATCAACATTGCAGAGGGCAGCGTCGGGGAGTTTGAAGATAGTGGTTCTTGGAAGACTAGGTGACGACTTTTACTTTTTTGCTTTTATTTAATTTAACTTTTTTGTAGGAGACCATATAGACCATTTTTTGCTTTTATTTATTTTAATGGTGTGATGGTGTTAGTTTATGTTTACTTTTTTTTATTTCGGTCTCTCGATTTGGTTTTGGATGTGGGTGATGAATTGGCTGAGATGACCGTTTTTGGCTCATTTGTGCTCATAAATGGATCAGCGAGTTATATTGTTGCGATGATTAACTATAAGTCTGGTTCGATGGACGGCGGTTTTCAGTAGTCTTTTTGTCGGATTACCTACTATCTAAATGATGTGTTATCAATTTAAGTCTATTTCTTTCAAAAAATAAATAAATTAAATATACCCGTAGTACTAAAATTCCAAATTACCCTTTTTACTATACTCCCACCGTCCCTAAATTTACTTCCGCAGTACAAATGGCACACGGATTAAGAAAGTTGGAATTGTGTGGTGGAGAGTTGTGCACAGGAGAGAGGAATGTGTAAGAATTGTTGTGAACCACAAATTCTTTGCCATAAAAGGAAAGTAAAGTTCTTTTTGGGACGGACGAAAAGGGAAAGTTGGAAGTATTTTTTAGGGACGGGGGAGTAGAAACAAATCATCCTGATGTGTGGGTATCAGACTATCGCAAGAAGTGTGGGTATCGCTTAAAATCCTACCGGGGCGGTTTCAATGGCAGACTCCGACAAACAAAAGGTTTGAAATAACTCTCATCATAGGCTCACAGAGGTCGTGCGGCTTAATTTATTACGCCCTCCGTCCCATTTTGGTTGTCTTACTTTCCTTTTTAGGTTGTTCCAAAATGGATGTCATATTTCCCTTTTTTATAAGAAATTTTTTGTCCATATCATTTCACTTCATTATACTTAAATTTCAACCACAACTTTTACTTTTCAACCAAATTATTAATAATCGTGCCAATTTGAAATGAGACAACCATTATGGGATGGAGGTAATATGTTTAAAGCTTAATTTTTTCTTTTGAAAGAAACCACAAATCTTTAGTTGTGTGAGGTAAATGAGGGTGTTTGGTTGGGAGTCTATCAGCCATTTTTTGGCTGTTTTGACTAATATTTAGTCTTTTGACAAGATGAAACAGCTAATAGGATGTTTGGTTACATAGTTTTTTCATTTGGCTTTTTTATCTAAACAGCCAAAAATAGAAAACCTACAAAAACATGGGGCGTTTTGACATTAGCCGTTTTAGCAATCTCCTAATTTTCCTAATCTACCCACGCCCCTCCGCCCTCCCTCCCGTTTCGTTACTTCGTATGTCAATAACTATACCAAATTGAGGTTCTGACGCTCTGGAAAAATAAATAATGGTCTAATGGATCAACTCATAAATACAAGTCAGTGAATTCATTCATCTAATGAGTTGCTGCTAGTTTCTTTTATTTATTTATTTATTCCAATTTCTTCTAAAATTATGTTTTCGCTGTTATTTATTCCCAACGTTTTGTTTTTGCCTTTTATTTTACATTCAGTTATTAATTTTATATGTAGGCTGGGTCTCTAATCTACCTTATGGCTTAATACATTAAAAACAATGTTTAAAAAAACTAGTGCTTCTCTTAAAATATTTTTATTTTGTTGTAAATCATAAAAAATGTTTAATTAGTCGTGAAAATAACATTAACAAAATGTATATAAAAGTGTTTAGTAAATAAAAAATTAATTGATGTCCTTAAAAGTCATTTAACAAGTTATCAGATGAACTCAAACAACTATTTAACCAAACAATGTTTTGCAAACTGCTAATACTATCAACTGATCAAAATAACTAACAGAATCCGCTATTATTAATCAGCCAACACAATCAGCCAACAGCCAACGGTCATCGGCCATTTGTCAAACACCCCCAATATAAACTTACTTGGCCTATTGTTTTTCACGTTATGTGAAGCTTTCCTTCAAAATAATTGTATCATTTGAAGCTAAAACATGCAAATTCAAATGAAAATGTATCGTTTGAAAATGCATGACGATGTTTTCTTTTGAGTTGTTTTCAATCCCAAAACAAATCAAACCAGATCAGACCAAACCAAAACAGATCAAATCAGATCAGACCAGACTTCTGTAGTTATAAAATACATAGGGACCAAACATTTATCAAATCAGACCAGACCAGACTAGACTAGATCAGACCAGATCAGACCATCAAATTTCAGTCTAAAAGAAAACATCCTTATTGATATTAGTGATGGTATAGAACATACAGAGTATATATTTTATAAAATCACTCAAAACATATACAAGTTTTTTCCCAAAATAATGTTAAATAAAAAAATTCCTAAAATAAGGTTAGGTTAAAAGTACTTCCGAAAATACTGCTCTCCTAAATCCTGAACCACCACTCAAAGTGCGGGCTTATGGAAAAATAAAGTGACGCACGTAACAAGCAACCAAAAGTAGAACATGAGATAGTGGTCCCACAAAATAAAATCATATTTTTATTTAAAGGGAAAAATAATTAAAATACCCCAAACTTTGAAAGGATATGAGATAAACACTCCAAACTTTCAAATGTAATTTAAGTACCCCAAACTTTTTATAAAAAATTATTTTAACACCATGATTATGTATTATTTATTTCAAAAATGTAAATTTATGGTGTTAATTACATAATTTTAAATAGCAAATTGAAAATGTTGCTATTATATAAAGTGGGGGACAATACTATTTAATTTACAATGAAATTTTAGAATGTTAATTGTATCATTATAAATGGTAACATATTTTAAATTATTAATTACCAACAAATATTAACATTTTTTAAAGTAATAGTACATGACCATGATGCTGAAATAAATTTTTATACAAAGTTTGGGGTATTTAAATTACATATGCAAGTTTGAAATGCTTACCTCACACCCTTCAAAGTTTGGGGTATTTTAATTATTTTTTCCTAATTTAAAAGTGATAAAACTTTTTTATTTGTACTCTGATTATTACAAAAAATACATCAAAATTCATAACTTTTTATTATCTTTCATATGACACCAATATTGAATATATAAAAATAAAAAAATAATTTAACACTTTAAAAATATCTTTTTTATGTAAATGTTCTATCTTTTTTATTTGTACTCCGATTGTTACAAAAAATATATCAAAATTCATAACTATTTCTTATCTTTCATAAGACACCAATTTTGAATATAATAGTTAAAAAATTAATTCTATTGATTTGTGCAGTTAAGGATTGTTTTTTACTGTGCACACAATTAATCAAGAGTGCACAGAAAAAACGATCCTAATTGCACAAACTAATAGAATTAATTTGTTAGTTTTTATATATTCAAAATTAGTGTCTTATGAAAGATAATAAATATTTATGAATTTTGATATTTTTTTTGTAAAAATCGGACTACAAATAGAAAATATATAACATTTACAAAATAGATATTTTTTAAGGGTTAAATTATATTTATATTTTTATATATTCAATATTGGTATCATATGAAAGATAATAAAAAG